TTTATGCCAAAATTGGTAGTAAATGGTTGAGGGATTGCAGAGAAAAGCTGAAAATGTTCGAATGCTAACGCACAATGCACAGCGCACAACGCAAGAAAAAAAAAACAGAGAGCAATAAGTCACAAGAGTTGATTCAGGTGACCAAATAAGGAGTCCAATGGACTCAATATTTATGTAAAATATAAGGTGCCTTCTGGTCTCCCTGTTGACTTACAATATAAGGTGACCTCAGGTCTTCTTATTGATGTAAAATATAACGTGTCTTCCGGTTTCTTCATTGTTGTTCAAAATAGTGTGATCATTAGTTTTATTGATGTACAATATAAAGTGACCTCTTGTCCCCCTACTGTTAATAATAAATATATAACAATAAATAATGTCCTGAACTCTATGACATACAATATTGATATCATATGGCATTAAGCTTGACTTTCTCTTATTATTGAACTTTAATGAATTTAAAACAGTTTATGTGACCACTTTTCATCACATAGTTTCATTGTGAGAAGCTGGAAAACAAGGGTATTCGAGACACTGCATTAAAAATGAATGGTAAAGAATCAGTAAACTAGAGTGAAATTAAACCGTTCATTATAGCTGCTGTAAAACTTGTTAAGAATCCCAAAGAAATACTCACTGAAATATGTAAAATTTACAGCAATCAATGTCTGTTTTATAGTTTATAGACAATTGAGCAGGTGGATTTCAATGATAAAAATTATATAATGGCATCAAAAAATGGAAACCGTCCTTGCAAACAAAAAATTTAACAACTAATGTACTGTTTGCCAAGTTTCAACAAATAATCACTGATGGTGTATGATTGACTATACGACACAAAGCAAATTTGATAGACATCATTTCGGGAGTAGTTCACACTGTTTTAAAGAAAAGTTTGACAGTTAAAAAAAGCTTAGTACTCAAAAGTCACCTAATTTTTTTTTTTAAAATGAGTGAAAACGAATGCGTGTAAGAATATCTAAACAATTATTTAAAATATGAGTAACTGTAGTTATTCACTTTTGTTTGAATTTCAAACAGATGATAAAACCTTGAATCTATTGCTTAAAACCCTCAAAACAAAATTTACAATAAGACGTAAATGTACTTGACAAAAACAGCAAAGGTCTGAGAAGAGCAGAGAATTGCAAGAGCACAAAGACAGATGTATATGCAATTTTCTTAAATATTAGTTGTCTTGTTGTTTATATTCGTATTCGAGGAGGCAGTTTAAATGCTGGAGGAATCTAGAAAGTAATTTTTTGCAAAAAAAAATGAAAAGGTTGATGAGAATCAAAAATCCACTACCGGTATATTAGATTTTTTCATGACAGCGTCCAAAACCGCACGCCCTGAGGAGTAAAAATAGGCTTGGGGATAAACAGAAAGTTAATGTTCTTTCACATTAACAATATTCTCTAGATCTTTCACCTTTGACTTGTTTCGTTTTCCAAACTTGAAAAAACCTTTCAGAAAAAAATGAACAAGTCCAGGAAGTCATAGGATCTGCCATAATACAGATACAAAAGGTCATACCCAAAATGAGTTCTAAAAACAATCAGAAATTAATTGGATAAAAAATGTAACGGACATGTGTTTTAATTAAAAGATAATATTAGGTTAAATCATTATGACTAAATTATTGAAAAGCGTCTTTTGTTTTTTTCCAAGACCCGAGGACATTATTTATTGAACAGCCCTCGTATAAGGTGACCTCTGGTCTCCTAATTGATGTTCAATATAAGGTGACCTCTGGTCCCCCTACTGATGTACAATATAAGGTGCAGTCAGGTCCCCCTTATGATGTGCAATTAAAGGTTATCTTTGACCCCCTTCTAATGTACAATGTAAGTTGTTCTCTGGTCTTCTTATTGATGTTCAATATAAGGTGTCCTCTAATGTCCCTTCTGATGTACAATATAAGGTTACCTCTGGTCCCCCTACTGATGCACAATACATGTATAAGGTAACCTGTGGTCTCCTTATTGATGTTCAATATAAGGTGACCTCTAGTCCCCTACTGATGTTCAATATAAGGTGTCCTCTGGTCCCCCTACTGATGTAAAATATAAGGTGACCTCTCGTCCCCCTACCGATGTACAATATAAAGTGATCTCTGTTCTCTTTATTGATGTATAATATAAGGTTTCCTCTGGTCCCCCTACTGATGTACAATGCAAGGTGACCTCTGGTCCCCCTACTGATGTACAATATAAGGTGTCCTCTCGTCCCCAAAATGATATACAATATAAGGTAACCTCTAGTCCCCTACTGATGTACAATATATGGTGACCTCTAGTCCCCCTACTGATGTTCAATGTAAGGTGTCCTCTGGTCCCCCTACTGATGTACAATATAGGTGACTTCTGGTCTCCTTATTGATGTTCAATATAAGATGTCCCCTGGTCCCCCTATTGATTTACAATATAAGATGACATCTGGTCCACCTACTGATGTACAATATAAGGTGACTTCTGGTCTCCTTATTGATGTACTTTAAAATATAAGGTGACCACTGGTCCCCGTACTGATGCACAATATAAGGTGTCCTGTGGTCCCCCTACTGATGTAAAATATAAGGTGACCTCTAGTCCCCCTACCGATGTACAATATAAAGTGATCTCTGTTCTCTTTATTGATGTACAATATAAGGTTTCCTCTGGTTACCCTAATGATGAACAATATAAGGTTTCCTCTGGTTCCCTTACTGATGTACAGTAAAAGGTGACCCCTGGTCCCCTTACTGATGTACAATATAAGGTGTCCTCTGGTCCCCCTACTGATGTAAAATACATGTATAAGGTGACTTCTGGTCTCCTATTTGATGTTCAATATAAGGTGTCTTCTAGTCCCCGTACTGATGTACAATGCATGTATAAGGTGACCTCTGGTCTCCTTATTGATGTTCAATATAAGGTGACCTCTGGCCCCCCTACTGATGTACAATATAAGGTGTCCTCTGGTCCCCCTACTTATGTACAATATAAGGTGACCTCTGGTCCCCCTACTGATGTACAATATAAGGTCACCTCAGGTCCCCCTTATGAAGTGAAATTATAGGTTACCTTTGGCCCCCTATTAAATTAAAATGAAAGATGACCTATGATCCCTCTAATGATGTACAATATAACAATAGGGTAAGGTGACCACTGGTCTCCCTTCTGATGGACAGTATAATATAAAGTTACCTCTGGTCCCCCTAATTACTAAACGTTTCTGCTAATATATTAGAAGAAGATCTGTATGAAGTTATAAAATAATATTATTATTTTGGAGTAAGACAAAGAAAACTGTCTACCATATAAAATTCAATTAATATATAAGGTGACCTGAGGTCTCCGTATTGATATCGATGATTTTACTTTTGTGCCTTTAATGCCTGAAGAGTTCCTTAAATGTTTTATTACTACGCAAAATGGCGAACTATTTGCGGGGGACCTGAGGTCCTAGTTGAGCGTACGTTTTATCCTTCTGCCCAAAAGATACTCGTTGGATCGATTTACTGATAGGTCGGACCAAAACAATGTCGGACTATAACAAACTCGGACTATAACAAACTCGGACTACACAAAGCCGGACCATAACAAACTCGGACCATAGATTAAATTTACTATATTTAATATAATTATGTTTACTAATTAATTAAGTTATATATTTTTCAAATATTTGAACCAAAAAAAATATTTTGCACTTTCTATGGTTAACAGTTATAAACACCTGCAGAGAAAATCTACACGCCCGCCTTGCTATTTACTATTTTTAAACACCAAATAAATTTCTTTCGTTACAGAGATACATGAGTTTTATATAGGCCATTTAGATACGTATAACCAGACGAAAGCAATTTTGAGAGCACAATTTTTAGTGTGTATTGCTTTTACAGATTTCCTATGTCGTTGAGAATGCCTGTCGAGAAAATTTAAACGCCTGGTTATTTTTTTTAAATTATATTGATTTTATTTAATATATTTATTTTTATATAGTATTTAGTAGACAAATAAATAATAAAAAATGAGAAAAAATATTATTTAACGCATCTATTAATCTTATCTTATAAGTCTGCAGTAATATTAAAAGAGATCATTACTCTTACTAGACTATACCTTTCCTCTGTAAGAAGATTTGGACTATTATTTTCATAGATGATGTAGTTAATGTTTTTAAGTTAAAAAATATAATGAATAATTGATTTCATTTTCGATTTTAAATTTACTAAACCAGTAAGTAAATGTAAAGAAAAATACAATGATGATAAATAATTTAATATTTACCGAGACGTAAGATTGATTGTTGGTTGGTTGGGGGGAAGGGGGGGGGGGGTAAATTAAGTTACTTTTTTGCATCCAAATATTCTTTTAAAGTAATTTATCTACTAATATATTTAATAAAAAAAATTAGGAAAATAACATGACAGGTACATACATTTTCTCAGCAGGCGTAGTCTACAACTTATACTTTAAATTGTAAAATGGATAAAAAATAAGAAAAAAAGTCTTTTAAAATTGTTTTAATTGGTAAAACATACATATCTATAGTCTTCAACTTAATATATCTAACAAAATACAAATTAATTTCATATTCAACACAGGGATCTGTTATTACTACACACACACATATATATATATATATATATATATATATATATATATATATATATATATATATATATATATATATATATATATACGATAGTCCGAGTTTGTTATAGTCCGAGTTTGTTATAGTCCGACTCTGTTATGGTCCGACTTATCTGTCAGCGGTTGGATCCGCCACATAATTGCTTAAACCATTTACGAAACTGAGCGATAATTTTTATTTATTGAATCCAATATTATTCTGTCATAAATTATCTAGCTATTAAATTTATATATGAATGTTAAACTTATAATGCAAGACACGACAAATAAAATTCGAAAGTTTGTCTGCAGGATATCAAATGACACTCGCTATCGGATTGCCTCGCATATTGCCGTTGCTTGTGCAGGAATGTGTAGAGGCAATCCGATCGGGGGCACTGTGAGTGTGCACTTCCGCTTTTCTTTTCACAACAAAAACACGACACAGATGATCTCATTGAGTGCCGTCAGCTGACCAAATGGGACCGTATCCAGGAGCAGATTCAGACGACACGTTTGACTATTTATTCAAGATTGTGTTGATAGGGGATGCGGGGGTCGGGAAGACGTGCGTGGTCCAGAGGTTCAAATCAGGGACATACGTGGAGAAACATGGCTCGACGATTGGGGTCGACTTCACCATGAAAACTTTACAGATAGACGGAAAGCTGATAAAGGTATCGGAACAAACATGAAACAACATACATATTGTATATATCTGCTTTTTACTTGTTTTCTTTAAGAATCTGTGTTGAACATAATGGTCACAGAAAAAAAAATCAGACATCATCAGTAGCATTATTTTGGGTCCTTTATCTGTCAGCTGGCTGTAATGTCTACAGTATCACTTACGTCTTCCTCATCTACCTGCTGACTAAACTGAATGTTCATACAAGTTTGTCTTTGAGGGAGTTGTTTTTTCATAACATACAGGGTGATTGGAAAATAAAGTTTGTACCCTGGTCGAAAATCCCCAGAATATTCTAGTACCAGGTCCAGGACAATACCCTGATAAAGGTATATGGTTTGATAAAGCTATATAGCTTGATCAAGGTATAACAAATACCTTGATCAAGGTATTTTTTGTAATGAATATGCAAAAAAAAAAAAAAAAAAAAAAAAAACAAAACAAAGACTGAAAGTTGAGGTCTGGGTTGTTTTCAGTAAATTCACTCATGCAAATAAAGTACTCAAAGACAAAGAAATCTGTAAAAGCATGTCGTGTGAGGAGACATTCCTTTATGCTGTCGTTTTGATACCTGAGTACTTTTCATGCACGAGTGAACACACTGACGACAACTCATAATTCGACTTTTAAATTTAATTTTTTAACATTTTTTTTTGTATTTTCGTTACATAAAATAAGGTACATGTATTTGTAATACCTTGATAAAGCTATATACCTTTATCAGGGTATTGTGCTGGACATGAGTACAGGCATGGACCTACATGAATATATGTACACACTAGTACATGTGTAGTCCCTTGATACTGTAAAATCACATATTTTCGTGGGTGAAATTTTCATAGCTTAATGAAAGACTCATGGTTTTTGAAGGTTTTATTTTGTGGATGAAGAATCGTTAAGTAGTTCATTCTGTATTTAACATTTTACATTTTGTGGTGGACATAAATTCATGGGTCTCTTCATACCTCGAAAATTGAACCCACACAGAAATTTGTGATTACATGTAAAAGCATATAGTTACATTTAATATAACTTAGCTATTATAGCAAATTACCTTTCTTTGGAAAGATCCTCAATGGCTACCATATAGATATATCTTATACTTAGCAGAAAAGTTTTAAAACACTTCAAGTAATATAAAAAAAATAGGGAAAGTGCTCAAAGTAGCACTGAAAATGACCACTAGTTAATAAGAACAAATTGTTTTGGATTGAATAATACCTTCCACCTTAAGAATGTATCCATACAAGACAAAGATGAACTCACTATACGAGAGTTTTTTGACTGCTTAAAACTATTCTGCCATGTTGATACTTGGAACACGTACCCCAATTATCATTCAAAGGAGATCTGAGGGGTTTTTTAGGGGGTGGGTCAACCCCATTAAAAAAAATTCAACCCAGAAATTTCTGGGGAAAAAAATGGAAACTTATCTTCCAAATGTGCAAAACCTATATCTCAAGGGGTTTGGGAGGGGGGGGGGGGGTGTTCCATCTAAAGTCCATTATAAAACTTCAATTCCAGGGGCCCCTCCTCTAGATCTGAAATAGAAGAAGTCAGACTTATCTGACTGTTATATTTTTCTCACTGAACTGCCAATACCTCGAACATGTTGAGCATATTCAATTCAGTGTAGGATGGATGGGGAGGTTACGGAAGCCTAAATGTGATCAATAGCTAAAGGGAACACGATGGGAGAGTAAATGTAAACATGTGGTGTAGTGTATAACAGACAGGGTCTGAATATACAATTCCATAATTTTAGCTCCAAATTTGGGATACAGCAGGACAGGAGAGGTTTCGAACCATCACTCAGAGTTACTACCGCAGTGCCAATGGTGTAATTATAGCTTATGACATCACAAAGAAGGCTTCATTTGAGAGTGTGCCGCGGTGGATTGAAGATGTAAAGAGATATGCAGGACCTAACATTGTACAGTGTATCATTGGTGAGTACTATGTAACATTGTAGTGAGTACTGTGTGTACCATATGTGGATACTACCAAAACAGTTCTTGAGATTTGCAGCAAAGGAAGAACTCATAAAGACCAAACATGCTCATTATTTTAGATAGAGTTACACATTAATACCTTCATATTTTGTTTGACAAGTTGGTAGAGCCTTTGCTTAATGATCAGGCCCAGGGGGACATAAAACTTAGACGAGCTCACTTTTAATCTCAGTCTCACTAATCCACTATATATTCCTTTAGTAAAAGTAAGACTGAGATCAATAGTGAGCTTGTCCAAGTTTTATGGCCCCAGGCCTGGAGGTCTTGAGTTGGAATCTCAGCTGCAATTGACCTAAGTACATAAAAAATGGGTAGCAACTGTTTGATCCTTTGCGATCGGCACTTGAAGTATGCAGGTCCTTCTGATGAGACCTTAAAGACTGGTGTCTCCTGTCATGGTAGGCATTGGCATGATAAAGATCCCTCACTGCTTAATGGCCCTGAGTGCCAAGCATAGGTCTAAATTAAAGCCCTTCAGCATTATAAGAGTATGGTGACGTCTCTACATGCATGGGTGAAAAATTCTTGATTTGGATGTAAAACAGCATACAATCAATCAATCATATTTTGTTTGATATTGATCCGATTCTTTAACAGAAGTTAGGTAGGTAGGATAAGTGTCTGAAAAAGAATCTCAAACCTATCATTTATCCTTTAAATTCATACACTAGTATAAGATGTTTTACTAAGGGGGACATAACTTTCCAAGTAATGAGGGAGTTATATCAGTTGTAAGAGTTAATGATCTTTGTTCTCAAGTTACTTTTTTCTTTTGAAAAATATATAAATTACCACAATGTTATTTTTTCATATTTATTATATTCATATCTTTTCAATCTTTAGGAGATAATTTCAAAAACAAAAAAAAATTTCAACCTCTGCTGCACCTTGGGCTAATATTTCACTCAACCACAGCTAATATTTATTATATTATAATCTATGTTTTATGCAAATAGATATATTTATATATAATTTAAGTTAAGTTGTAACACGTCATTTGATTGGTTAAACGGTTTTATCCATTTCGTATAACATAACCTGCCTACGTCACAACTAGTTACGTCAAAAACGTATTACTCCGCTTGACGTTATTTTAAAATAATGCTCAATTTGAAGCCCTTTTC